ACTCTCAGCACGTGACAAGCTCTCACTCTCAGCACGTGACAAGCTCTCACTCTCAGCACGTGACACGCTCTCACTCTCAGCACGTGACAAGCTCTCACTCTCAGCACGTGACAAGCTCTCACTCTCAGCACGTGACAAGCTCTCACTCTCAGCACGTGACACGCTCTCACTCTCAGCACGTGACAAGCTCTCACTCTCAGCACGTGACAAGCTCTCACTCTCAGCACGTGACAAGCTCTCACTCTCAGCACGTGACAAGCTCTCACTCTCAGCACGTGACAAGCTCTCACTCTCAGCACGTGACAAGCTCTCACTCTCAGCACGTGACAAGCTCTCACTCTCAGCACGTGACAAGCTCTCACTCTCAGCACGTGACAAGCTCTCACTCTCAGCACGTGGTTTAAAGCTCTGATTCGTGAACAATATATTCTTCTCATTAAAATCAGAAACAGTTTTTGGACAAATCGGACATCACCATGTGTTAACATTTGAAAAAGTAAAATATTATTTTATGAGTATTTATTCAATGAATGCATTGTATTTACCTGTTTGTACAGATGAGCTTTAGTTTTATTTATGCGAGGGTTATTTCTTGCAATATAAGGGTAACAAATAACCGTTCACACTTTTATAAATCTTGATATCGACGAGAATGCTATATACTTATATATATTATAATATAGTTGTTAATAATTGTAAAGATGGGAATGCCGGTAAAATACGATTTTCTACAATGATGAATGATTGATTTAAAAAAAGTACGACTGTTAGTATAATTTGTTTAACAAAATCTAATACAATGCAGCTTCTTTTGTCTTTGCCAAAAAAAGATCATTATCTGCAAAATAACCAGTATGAAACACAAGCCATGAACCTGAACAAGTAATCTCTGTTTTATCAAAGAAAAAAGTGGCCATTAAAATATTTGGTTTTAATTTATAAGTTATTAACCAGCAAACAATGAAGATTACTTACAAGTAGCTGATAAGTCACGTGATGTCACTTACATTTAACGTGAGGGAAGGGCTGGAACTCGTCCCTTACATCCTGGAAGTTAGAGGGCAGTATCCGGATTTGATGGACAACATCCTCGTTATCACTATTCTCACTATCACCCCGTCATCTGCTGTGCTAACGTCGTCTACTGCCAGGAACGGCTGAGCAAGAGTTAGAGTTTAAATATCTAACTGTCAATCTCTTGACGAACCGTTCTATTCTTTTGGGATCACTCACATATTTCGTTGGCCGAATTGCCACCGTAAGCTTTGAGAAACCCCGTAAGCCAGGAGAAGGCATCCCTCCCCCGGCCCCCGTAATCATCTACTCTTACTTTTCTTATTGTATCACAGATACTCTCCCCTGTATACCATAAAGAAACATCAGAGTCACCGTCGGTCCGTTAAAGCTGTAATGTTAATTCAATGGATGCGTTAAAATCGAAGCCAAAACTTTACTTAACTTGAATGTGGCATTTTTCAGCTTCAGTTAATTTACTAATTTTAAATTTAGAGTAGAAATGAAGAGATGATGATTTAAGAATCTTACTATCTTAGAAAGACTACCTATTTTAGAGATGTGCCAGTCAAAAGGACTAGTGAATTGACAGTTACTTTGTTCCGAATGAATTAATTTTAAATATCTTCTTAATTCAGTACCTAGTAAAAAATTTAATTTGCTCAGTGTCCAGTGGTGGTGCAAAGAATGACTTGTACCTGTGCTGTTTCTACGTGGTCACAAAGTGGCCTGGATTAAATCTAAATCTTATGATATTGTTACTGTTGTAACTTAAGATTTTAAATTTGTATTCCTTGTATTCCTTGTATTCCTTGTATTCCTTGTGTTCCTTGTATTCCTTGTATTCCTTGTATTCCTTGTATTCCTTGTATTCCTTGTATTCCTTGTATTCCTTGTATTCCTTGTATTCCTTGTATTCCTTGTATTCCTTGTATTCCTTGTATTCCTTGTATTCCTTGTATTCCTTGTATTCCTTGTATTCCTTGTATTCCTTGTATTCCTTGTGTTCCTTGTGTTCCTTGTATTCCTTGTATTCCTTGTATTCCTTGTATTCCTTGTGTTCCTTGTATTCCTTGTATTCCTTGTATTCCTTGTATTCCTTGTATTCCTTGTATTCCTTGTATTCCTTGTATTCCTTGTATTCCTTGTATTCCTTGTATTCCTTGTATTCCTTGTATTCCTTGTATTCCTTGTATTCCTAACTAACAGTCACCTTCCCCTTCTCCATTCAGATCCTATACACGAACTTTGAGTAGAATAGTTGCAGGAATTCCTGAACAGATGAGCTGGTTAGGAATGCCGCGTGACTTACCACGTGACTTACCAAGTGACTTACCACGTGACTTACCACGTGTTAACCACGTGACTGCTCACTTGCATATTTACTGGTGTTGCATTTCTATGTATTATTCAATAGGACTGTTTCTTGATCATTCTTTACATTTCTTCATATTTTTGTTTCCGTAAGTTTGAAGTTGTAGTCTCTTCAATAAAGGTACATTATTTACCGCAAATTATATACCAAGCATTAATTAAAATAAGTTATCTGACATGCTGCTAGTGAGATTTAATTACTCTCAAAGCTTATATTATCATTACCAAACTCCATTATCTGATTATATTATAATTAAATTTGTTAAAGGTCTACAGGTTCCTCCTTTAAAATGCGCCTTATACTCCTGACATTGTATTTGCTCCACATTGGACTGTCGTTGGATGAGAAGCCTGGTTTTAGGGTCCAAGTCAGTCAGAAAGGAATCAATTACGGTATGTGATTTGTCAATGAGGTGGTAAAATTTTAGCCATTGCGGTGGTTGCAATGTAACATGATATATATTATGCGTATGGATTACCTTTACCGTGCACAAGTTAGCTAGATTGATTCACCTTAATAGTCCATACTCTGGTGGATTTTTGCGGAATTAATGAGCACTTCTCAATCGGTAATCCCAGATTCTTCATTATAGTTTTTCTTTCAGTTCGGGATGTACTGCTTCCCCTGGCAACTGATGCGATTAAAACAGCGAAAATATCCGACACGGAAAATAGAGTAGATAGTCCAATCGGACACATTACTTTTAAAGTTTACAAGTAAGTAAGGTTTTAGTAAGGGGAACTTTCTGGTGTGGAGGTTTTAGTGATGGGAACTACTAGAGTGAAAATGATAACGGAACTGAAAATCTTTCATTATCAGAGATTAAAAGTTAACAATATTATGAAAGTAATATTATATATACCTTAGTTCCCAAAAATTTTTGTGCCATTATATTGAGCACAATTTATTTGAGCCCGAAAAATTTGGGCAGAAAATTTGAACTCATTTGGGCGACCGAAAATTTGGGCACAAATTCTTTGAAAAATGAACGATTTTCCACTAAAATTTTAGTTAGATATTTGCCTTAGTTCATTATTATTCCTTATTATTCCAGTCATTTTGCTTTCAATTTTAAGCATGTAGGTGGTAGCCCCTGGACATATCTAGATCAATGGACTGGCTAATAAGATAATATAAGAAATTCATGCGCAATAAGTACGAAGATTGGTACGCGAAAAACATGGTATTAGTGTGTCAGCTCAATGGAGGAGTTTCATCAGACAATGTGAAAATTGATACCTGCTTGACAGTGATCCGTGAAGTACACGCTCGTTGGATCAACGAACTTTTTGTATATTTAAAAGGGAGGCCAGATGACATAAGGAAAGGCTTTGAGAAGTCGGGTATAACTGATGCTTGTAGATCAGACTTTACGGTGGATGATAATTGATAATCCATTTGCAGATCTTGTTTAAATCTCTAGCTATCCGTACCTCTAGCCATTTGTTTTAGATTTTTTATTTTAGATTAGAAAACTAAAATTTCAAATATTATTTCACTTGGATATGAAGAAAAAGCCATCTTTCTATAGATTTCAGGGCCACAGGCCAATTGCCAAAAGTTTGGTTAGCAAAAAATTTAGCAGACGGAAAAGATTTATGCAATTAATTTGGTCTGCAAAAAATTTGGGCGAGAGGCCCGCTCAAATTTTTTGTCCCCCAACTTTTTGGGAATTAAGGTATATCAATCTTTAGCAGGAATGAAATTGAACGGCATTTTAGTCGACCACAGCACAGATATTTTGTTGTGTTTCAACGTTGGTAACCAAACTTTCCCAAATTTACAAACTGTTGATTCCAGTAGTAGAGAAATATTTTCAGCGCAAAAGTAACTGAAGTTGACATTTCTCAAACGTCTGTGAAGCTAGGCAGTCCTTCAGATGTCGTGGCTACAATCCAAAATGCAGTTTTAGCTGTGGGTACTCGTTCGAAATAATATGTTCATCGTGTTTGTACTTTAAAATATATTTAGTCATAACGTGTGTCCTAATAAATATTATATTGATAATAGAAATGCTGATCATGATTCATGAGTACTTCTTTGATACAAACAAAACCACAAGAAGGCTTCAAATATCTATTGTTCAGTTCTTCGTTAAGTTTGTCAGCCCTTACTAAACTGTCCCAGGTTAATGCTGATTGGCACTACAGGAAAGATCATTGGCCCAACCTAAGCGACCAAGGCAGGGTCGAGATCACAGCTTCTGAGATATCCATTAACCTGGATTTACGAATTGGTACATGACGTTTATATTTTTCAAACTACGTAGTTAATAGTTATATTAGATGGATGAAGCACTAAACTGGATACTAAAATCGAATGATACAATTTTAAGCCGCACAGTCTACTCTTGATATACGACAAAATTTCGTAAATCACAGTTCATACCTCCAGTTAATAACCATAAATATTGAATCATCAGGAACTACTGATAAAGGAGAACCTCACGTGACCTCTGAAAGTTGTACGTTTGATGTTGGCAATGTTGACGTCACGTTCCATGGTGGCTGGAGCTGGCTTTACAACTTGTTTAGTGAGACGCTCTCTGATTCTCTCAAGGAAGGTATTCAGGGTCAGGTTCGTACAAATATATTTTTAATACTTTCAACACTACTATATAACAAATAATTTGAGATAACGATGTATAATAAAACGATGCAAAGAATTTCGAAGATCTAATCAACACTGGCTTTTAATGTGTAGAAGTACAGTTACAGAATATATTTATATATTATACACTTCCGTTTTTAGTTTTCTGAGGTTGTTTACAGGCAACATACTGATTGAATGACACAGAGTAAGATACAATAGACCTATAAAGGTTTATTTCAGGTGTGTCCGTTGATTACAGATGAGGTCAACAACGATCTGAACAGTATCTTGAACACTTTAGAACTCCAGTCAGATATAGATGAGAACTGTTATATCGACTATTCTCTTATACAACCACCGTTTGTCACCAAAGAGGCTCTCTTTGTCAATGGAAAAGGTAAGTTTTATTGCTTTCACATTGACAAACAGTGATATATATATAATATGATTTGGTCAGGTAGTGGTAGAGAAAGTGATCTGATCGAGGAAATAGAAGTACATTACACCACCCATACCATCTGAAATATTACTTCATGGCATCTTTCTGATAGTTGGATAATATCCGGTTGGAAGAGACAAGGACAAACCAACCGGATATTATCCAACTATCCAACCGGATATTATCCAACTATCAGTATTTCAATCATGAGACTAATAAACAGCGAACTACTCCGTTATTTGATCGTATCTTTCCTCTTAACACCAATGATTTGAAACTCGAATGATTTCAATATCTCAGGAGAAATATTCGATAAATCCGACCCAAAAGAGTGTCCCTCCCCTAAACAAGACATGCCTGAAACAGTGGACAGTGAGAGGATGGTAACACTTTGGATAACTGAGTACATGTTGAACACTGCTGGATATGCTTACCAGACCGCTGGCTTCCTCCAGTACAACCTCACCAGCGATGATGTTAGTTTTATTGAACTTTGATCTGATAGCGTTTTATATACTCATGTGGCAGTTATTTTGTATCGATATTTCTTCCTAATAGCAAGGCCACGAGAATGCTATCAAGACTTCGGGCTCATATTTCATCTGTTGACGTCAAATGATACACATTTATAGAATATCGTACTCGATTTCAGTAATATCCTGAAGACACCTTTCTGATAAACAGTATTCTAAACATCTGTAATTTAGAGTGTGTTAAACAGTGAATCTTTTTACTTCAGATTCCTAGTGACAACCCCATCAAGTTTAAGTTGACAACTGATTTTTTCAAATTCTTCGTTCCTGATCTCCATAAGGCTTACCCTGACAAAAATCTTACCCTCTGGATCTACGCTACAAAACCAGTCCTCTTCAATATCAACAAAGCGGGTAAGCTGACCGGCTTTAGTTTAACTGATGTAATATTTTGAACAATTGAAATTCGACTATTTACCATGAAGCCATGATGATTAAGGGAACGTTTTTACAATTATTGTCAATTTGCCGGGAAAATTCTATTCGTTATTCTTCAAATTCAAATTAAAAAATTGTGGAAAGATTTGACTAAAATGTTTCACAAATTCATGTTGTTGCTCCTGCGTTCTGCTCCTTCACCTTAACAGATGAGTGTAACACGGATCTCTGCCTCCTTATCTTTATCCTTTGTTCGAACGTTCCGCCATTTTGGTCCATATCACTTAACTTTCCGCCAGATTCTTCCACCAGGTTCCCACACGTAAATCTATCACAAAGGGCAGAAATCAGCTTATCCCGTCCCGTCTCTTCATTTGTTGTTAAGTTGGTGTCTTTCTTCTTCTTTTTGCTCCGTTCTTCTCTTAACCGTCTTCTGAACCAGATGATGAAAGGGAAGAATACGGCGAAGTACGGAAATAAGAGAGGCTGCGCTCTGATGTAATCCTTCAGGAGTTTGCTGCGAGCATATTTCCATTCTATGTCACAGTTGTCCTTAATTCTATTGAAAGTGCTTCCAAGGATGCCTATCAGCATGTTGAGTAGCAGCACACACGAAAGAAGGATGTATAAGATGAGAATGATGTTGATGAAGACTGTTGTGCGAGCTTCGTGTTCCACTGCCAAATTCTGAAAATTGTTTTAGTTGTTCTTTAATGCAAAGTTAGGAGATTTTGAAAACAATTCAACACAAATGACGTATTAAAATAACAAGTAGAACGAGTATAATCAAAACAAGATAACCCACCACAACATCAAGAAGTCCAAAAGTTGACCACATGATATTCCTCATAGTGTCATAAAAGGTCTCGAAAACAGCTGGAGCGGAGACCTCCCCCTCGGGATGGCTGTGGTTGTATGGTAGCAATGTGAAAATGTGGTCTTCTGCACCGTCAAAGAATATTGCCACTGAGTTTTTGAGTTCCTTGTTCCATTGGTGAATGCTTATCGTCATGCTGTAAATCGCTATTGACGTTCCAAAGATTACTGTAAGCAATAGGATTCCAAAGTTTAGTACATCTATTACTAGGTACTTTAGTGCAATCATCATTGTTCCAAGTGATTTAAAGACTTCCAAAAGACCTAGAATCCGCAACGTCAGGATAAATTCTGCGACCGCATACATGTAGTAGACATTCATGGAATCTTGATGTGATCGCATCAGTTCTCCTTCAGTCGCGTTGTAGTCAATTATTTCCGGCTTTTCTTTATGTTCCTTCAGAAGGCCATCAACCCTGTACTGAATCATCCCATTGTGGACGGCTCCCACGCATAGCATAACTATGACAATGATATCTACAATATTCCAAAAATGCCGGAGGTATCCCCAACCTTGCTGCACCAGGAAATCTATTTCAATGATCAAACGAGATAAGACACAGAAATAGAGCAAGTAATCCGTTCCCCCAACTTGGTATTTTCCATCTGTAGGAAAAATACAAGCGCATATCAGTATCATCAGGAAAATCAAGTAGTTCAATGCGTCCGTAATGAAGCACATGCAAGGAGTGAACTTCAACTTGAGGAGTTCTGCGAAAGAAGACTCCATGAACTTGATTCCTCTGGGACGTTCGACCAGAAGTAACTTCAGAAAGAGCACTGGTAGCATTATCGGACTAGCAATGTACTTTAAAGCTATTAGGGTTTTACCATAAAGAAGTGTGTTGTTAAAATCTCCATTCCAACCCTCATTGATGATCTGTTGATTGAATGGATGGGAAACAAACTGTTTCTTTTCCTGCTTGATAGCCGTTTTCAGCAGATTCTCCGGGTAAAGAATAATTTCTTTAGCATCCGTCATCTTATCACATTGGTCCAGAAATGTATACGCAAATGTGTCTGCGTTCTCAATCAGCAACTCGAACTCCGTCTCAAACTCGTTCCTTACGTGTTTAATCCTCTTGATATCGTTAGAAACGCGAAATGCTGTCTTTATTGGGTCCCTGCATCTCAAGTATACATCGTCAGCTAACAAGAAAATCAAAGGCCTTGAACAAAAACCGATGACATTGTTCTCTCGAAGCTTTTCCTCGGAGTCATGTCTCAAAGATGATGTCAACCTCACAACGGCTGTTTCAAGATCACCTCCATTATGTAGAAGAGAGTTTATGGTTTCTTTGTCATACCTGTTCGCGGCTATGCTCAGGGGAATATCCCCATCCTCGTTGGCATGATTGGGATTGCCACCGTAGCTGAGGATTATCTGGACCATCTTGCAGTCAACCTTAGCCGCCAGGATCAGAGGACTGTTTCCTTTTCCATCCTCCTTGTTAGCCAGATTTAATTTTGAGTAGTGAAATGCTGGGCAACCCATCTTAGGGGTGCTTTTAATCTTTTCCCCCTTCTCCGCTAAAATACTCTCCACATCTGCGTGGTTGTGTGCCTTTATCTTCTCGAACAACTCTTTATGCTCCATATCATGGTCTAGTCCATCCCATTTTAATTTTTTCTGTTCCATCAAAGTTTCAAGTTACGGTTGTTTTGAGCCGGTTGAACTCGGACGTCGGTTTCTGTTTTGGTTCATTCTATGATCAATTTGATATGTGGTTATTGAAATGAAAAACAACAGGACTGCTGAAAATTCCACCATTATTTAAATATATAACGTATCAATTGTTGATTTACATAAAAAATGAAGATCGAATTGGTAAAGCGAAAATAAATACAATGATATTATACTAAACCTCATTTTTATTATTTTATTGAGATAAAAAAGGAGATTTGTTCCAAAAACCTCAGCAAATGGCCATAATTCCCTGATACTAGAAGTTTAAGTCTAATCTCGAGTTTAACCAGTATATCGTTAAATAAATATACTATTGTATTGTACATACTATGAGTACAGACACACAGTTTATTAAGAGGAAATAAACAGAGAAGCTTAACTCTCGAGGAAACAACACGTGATACTAATAAAATAAATAGTACGCTTTACACTTTATGTATTCACAATTAGTTCCTACACAAACTACATAAACTGATCAAGCAGTAATAACCTGGTGCTCAAGGTCAAGGAATTAATATTATAAATCATATCTGAATTATTTATACCACATAAATCAGTTACTTATTTAGTGTGAATCCCTCGTCAAATGAGACCTAATATTAATCAGATCAATCATAATATGATAAATAATATGATAAATAATATTATTAAATACTATTATTAAATACTAAGATAATATAAATTTCCCTTCCAGGAGTAAGTGGCAGAGCAGAGGGAACAATAACTTGGCTGGTCCATGTTAACGATACTTTAGTTCCTGCCTTTACCCTGGACGCTCAACTTGATCTCTGTGTAAATCTCAGTGTTCAACTTGGCGGTAAATCTGAAATATACCTTGATCTCATCACTGTCGAGTAAGTTCAAACAAACTTTAATAGTGAGCCACAAAACGGATAATAATTCAATTAGTGTATCGTAGTGAACCCTAACTTTATTTCCTAATTAATAGATAATTTAATTATCTGATAACTATAAGTTACAGTTTAATGGTTATTGATTAATATTATCATAGCCATTCCGTAGTAGATCCTGGGTAACACGACTCTTGTCCGAATCCGTAATTCCCCTCCCCCGGCCCCCCCCCCCCCCCATTATATTTAAAAAAGTGAAATCTATGTTTTTAAGACTA